GTTTCTATATATATATATATATATATATATATATATATATATAGACCATTTACTTTTGATTCAAAGTGGTCACAATTATTTTTATCCATTATTTTTTAAATCAGGTTGTCATAAGAGTGTTATTTATTAAATTAAAAAAAAAAAAAAAATCTCAAACTGCATTCATACCTCCCTCAAGCCATCTAATGGCTAGGAGTAAGTGTGAACTCCTTGTAACAAAGATAATAGCATCATAGTATACAATCCCAAAAAATAACACATCTTTAAAGATAATGTCAAATCCATAGCATTCAAATAAAATAGATCAACCTTACTTCCTACAAGCAAGGTTGCAACCTTCCATAAACCTTTTCCTGTACTTTAATGATATTTACTTGAGGGGTTCGTAGTGGTGGACTACTAGGCCCGTGTCCCTTTGAAAAGCAACGAAGTAAATGGTGGGATGACCAAGGTCACAAGGGGCCATTGGACCTGTTAATCATGGATAAGGTTGGTAAAGGGCACAGGTTGGCCTGTGGGCTTTTGTGGTGGGGTTCGGTTCTGGCCTCATGTCAAGGTTTGGGAGCTAAGCCTAGGTCACACCTATTTGGCTCGAAACATTTTTGACCAAGGACCCTTAGGCTAATGTTTTAAATATATGTACTAAAAATACATAGACCAAGGACAAGTCTAGCACTGGTTAAGCCAGCCCTTAGACTATTTTTTAGAAAATATATATACTGAAAATATATAATACCTTTTTCATATTTGAATAGAGCCGTTATGCTAGATCCACCCTCTTTTTTACTCAAGTTGGGCTTGAGTCTCATTATCATGAATCCAGACACGACCGGTGTTGGGCCTGAAACAAGATTTTGGACTGGAGCCCCACTCTACACATTTCACCCTAGGCATTGGTGGGGCTCCATTGAAATTTTAATTTCCTATCTATAGCATTGTGTATAAACACAATGCTATAGATAGAACACAGAACTGAGATACCATACCGAAGGGTCATCTCTGTGGGCTTTTCTATTGCGCCTATAGAGGACTCAATAGTGTGGGAATTGAGCAGAAGGCGAGTGTATACATTACGATCACTTCATAACACTATACCCAAGAATGATGTCTTCTAATTAATACATCAGTGGCAAAGGTATGGCCATGGAAAGTCCCACCGAGTACAAGTTTTCTTATGGCTGGCGAGTAGGGACAAATATCTATCAGTTAAACTTCGAACAACAAGTGTAATCGTCCGAAATGTTTGCATCTTGTGTAAGAAAAATGCAGAGGCTAATGATCATCTGCTGATGTGTTGCACTTTTTCTACAACAATTTGGGAGTGGGTAAAACAGAAGACTACTTGGAACTGGGTTATGCCACAAATAGTAGCCTAACTATTCATACAAATTCATTCCCCTCCGTTTACAAGCTATGGAATAACCACATGGAGAATCATAACTGCAACAGTTCTGGAACATATGGATAGAGGAATAAAAGGATCTTTGAGAAATCAAGCACGGAAATTGCACAACTCTAACATGCTGTACTCAAGGGCCAAGGCGATTATTCAATGGGCATAACCCCTCCAGTAATTCAAAAATTCAACCAAGGGAGGTTTTCAATTTAATCATAGGGATCGCTTGTTCATGAAAGGAGTTCAGAAGTGCTTAAAGCGAAAAAATGGGTGCCCCGTCGATGGATTGGGTCAAACTAAACTTTGACAGAAGTGTGTGAAGAAATGATGCGGTAGCTGGTTATTGGGGGCCTGATAAGGGATTCAACTGGAACTATAGTATGGATTGTCAAGGGAATACCCTCTATGTCAGGCCAATGAGGCAGATCTTATGGCACTGAGATTTGAAACCCTTAAGCTAGAACAATGTCAAAGGAAAATCATCAGTGAAAAATTACAAAAAAAAAAAAAAAGAAAAAAAAAAAAAGAAAGAGAAAATTCAATCAATGTGTAATCAAATGATGCAGGGAGCCATAAGCTACACCCTAAGCATGGAGGGCCACTATGAATGAGATTCAATACATGAAAGATAAGCAAGTCCTGTTCAAACTTGTCCTTAGGGAATGTAACCAGGTAGTAGATGATCTTGCTAAAGCGACTGCCACAAGTGTACACATAGATCCTTTGTGGTGTTTATTTCTTTCATTTTTTGTTTTCACCAGCTGTATCCTTCATTTACTCAATGAAATTACCGTTAACGTTAAAAGGAAACTATTCTGATAGGGTTAGGCCTATCAAAATAATTAAAACTTCATCTCAAAACTCACCGAAAATTACAGTTTTGGCAACTCTAAATCAATTATCCCGACCTTGACCATTATGATTGTGAAAATTTAATATTTCAAGTCTTAAAAATAATGTATATTATAATATATTATCTAGATCATCTATTTTCAAGTGTTCATGGATCCACAAGATATGTACCACTTTGAACTACAAATTCCATAATCACTAGTGAAATTTGATTTTAGAACCATCGTAGAGTTTTTCACGCCCAAAGTGTTTTATGGATGAGATTACAAGGTGAGACTTTACCCAGGCCTCACATAAACTACTTATAAGATTAAAAGCGTAAACTTTTTATGCTTCCCCTACAATATAAAACTTATATACTTCCCCTTATCCAACCGTCAATATTGAATGGAGGGCTAAGATTGCCCCAATCACAATGTCACGTCTCCAAGCTATTTGGACACTAAATTTTGGACGTCCAATCCTCTATTAAACTCTCACTAGCAAAAAATATAAAAAAAAATATTTTCAATAAAATAATTGACTAAAATATTTTTGAAAGTTTTAAAGGATATCTTGGTCATTATATTTTATCAAAAAATTATTTTTAATATTTTTTATAGCTGAGCCCTAATGAAAAGATGACACATATCAAATTTCATATTCATAAAATTTGTATAAAAAAAATAAAAATAAAAAATTTTAAAACATTAAATCTAAGATCAAATAATAAGTGACTCTCTTTATCAAAATTAGACGGCTGGATAGTAAGGGAAGCATAGATCTTCCCTACGTTGGGGAAAGTATAAAAACCTTTCCCAGTTTAAAAAAAAGGAAATGAATTGGTTGTTTTCTTATATTTGCCAAGCTAATTGAGTACCATATTATACTTCGTGGGTGCATATACTATGCACTTACTACCCTATTCCGAATCGATGTTTTGGGATCGAATGACATGATTATTATCTATATAGAAAAAATTCTGAATGTTTGGGTTCTTCATCAACACAACGATCTTAACCTTGGACAGACTTTTTAACCTAGCCACATAATCATGGAATCATTTTTCTAACTATTTGAGGTTCGCTACAAATTTGAAGCCGACCACATCACCATCAAAGAATTTTTTTAACTATGTGAGTGTGGCAGCTTACTACCATCAGGGATGGCAATGGGTCGGGTCTAGCAGGATCCATACTCGGACATATCGGGTCCGAGGCCTACTTATTGAGTTTCTTCTTTTTTTTTGGCCAAAAATATTAAAAATGTTGTCAATATTGTGATAATATGAATATTTAACGTGCATTTAAAGAATTGCCATCACATACCTTATGACTATGGATAAGGTTGGGTCCAACTAAACCCCTACTCGAATAATATTGGGATCCAAAATTTAGACATCCAGAACTGAGATTGGGTGTACCTATTGTGTCCCAAGTCTAGTCGGTCCATTGCCAACCCTATCCAAAATTTGAACTTGAAGTTTACAAAATTTGAGCCCATAGATTGGTTTTACCATGTGGAGTGAATAGACAATATGCTCCGGCAGGAGCAAGAAATCTTTCGGATCTGCACGTGTCCCACCACTCGCGAGATCTCCAGGACCGCTAAGAACCTAGAGAGAGAGGAAAACAAGATCCGCAGAGGGGTGGTGTAAATCTAGAGAGCGAAAGACAATGGTTCAGAAGTCCATGATCTCTCTACACTGCTGCTCAATCCCAGTCCTCATCTCCTCACTCCTCCTCTCTCTCCTCTCTTTCTTTGTCTTCCACCTCTCCACCCTCAACACCCACCACTTTCTCTCTCTAACCCACTTCTCTCCTCTCTCTAACCCGAACCCCTCACCCCAACTCAATGTCTTTGTTGCAGAGCTCCCCACCTCTCTCAACTATGGTCTCCTAGGAGAATACTGGTCTCTCCATGATACCAGGCTTGGCCATGAAGCAGATGCGGCTTTGAGAGCCTCTGGTTCTTCAAAAATGGAGTTTCCACCATATCCAGAAAACCCATTGATAAAACAGTACAGTGCGGAGTATTGGTTACTGGGTGATCTCATGACGCCTGAGAAATTGAGGGGAAATTCAGTGGCTAAGAGGGTGTACAGGGCTGAAGATGCAGATGTGATTCTTGTGCCATTTTTTGCGACTTTGAGTGCTGAGATGCAATTGAGTCAGGCTAAGGGGAAATTTAGAGGGAAGAAAGAGAATGATGATTATTTGAGGCAGAGAGAGGTGATGGACCTGGTCATGGGGTCCGAAGCGTGGAAGAGATCGGGTGGGCGAGATCATGTGTTTGTTTTGACAGGTTAGGGTTTTCTGATATTGGGTCATCTTCTGCTTTCGTGTTCTTAACGTATCATAGTGTTTTTGGTTTTGTTTTATCACTAGTTCATTATCTATGGTGTTTTTGCTGGACAAAGATTATTATTTTTTATTAATGAAGTTTGTTCTTCTTGTAATGTGTTGATTCTCCTCATTTAGAGTTTGATAATTTTGTGAGCTTTTGGTTTTTCGTGTTTCTTTTGTTATTTTCTTAATGGGTTACATGTTTTTATCAGTTTTCTGATCTTTGGTCTGAGAAAGATGGGTTTTCCTAAAGAAGTTTGATAATTATGTGAGGTGTTGGATTTCGTCATGTTGATTTCTCCAATTTCTGATTGTTCCCCTTTTTCTTTTTCTTTTTTTTATGGTTATATTTAGTAATCTGGTATTTTTGCTGGATAAAAATGGTTTTTCATAAAATTTACAGTTCTGTAATGTAGTTTGAGTAATGGAGAATGGTTCTTGAATATTGTATATTTCATGGCATGTACATCTGTCATGAACCATATCAATCAATCAAAGTATCTCAAACTGAACCACTTCTAAATTAGGAATTCTCTAAATTATTTAGTTCTCAATGTGATACTTTGGTTATGATTTATGAAGTCTTTGATATTAGAACTTAGTGTTTGATAGATTTGGTGCTTCCTTTCCTTTTGTTGTATCAGCTACAGGTGCATGAAGTCCATATGCTTGGGAGCCATGCACATTTTGGCTCATGAAACTATTAAGCAACGCTTTCTTGTTTTCGAATTAGAACATAAAAATCATATCAAGAATGCCCATTTGTTGTATCTTCCTGAATTTACTTATCATGGAAATGCATAAAAATCATGAAGCACACATTACTTATGATATTCTGAGAATAGCTAACTTCTATTTGCTTATATTTTACTTTAAGTGGGTGTATGGGTAAGTCCATTTACACTATTGTTATTGGCTTACCTAACTATTAAGCACTTTCCTTGAGGGGTTACGGTAGTAAATGTCATAGAGAATTGTAGAGTCTCTTAGCTAAGATGTTTTTTATCCGAGTTCCTGGTGAATATGTGGTTTGCAACTATGTTGAATGCAGTGAGTAAGACTCCATGCTTCCTAAAGCAGGATTTTTCAAAGATGAATTCAGTATTATTATCTTTTGTTATTTGGGCCTTGGTAAAGCGATCAATTCAACTTGGGGGGAGGCTCTATGTTCATTATATATCTTTCTTGTAACTGACAAGTGCAAGGTTATATGAAAATATCAATGAAGAAAAGCTAGGATTGGTTCGTAATGCTGCAGATATTCTATTACTTGAATCAAAGACTCAATTTCCATGTATTTATCCTTGTCAATCATCCGAAGATACTAAAAACACAGGTCATATTTATTCAAAAAAAAAAAAAAGAGACAGTGGCTACTGGTCAATCATGTGATTCATGTCACAGGCAAAGGCTTCAGGATGTCACATGTAATATCCACGACCTTTTAGGCGCTGCAAAGGGATTTCCGATGGAGTGGAAATGCAACAGGGGATAATATCAAGGACTTTGTGGTATCTTTCATGACATTATATGAGTAGGATAATGCATATAAATGGTGTTGTGGAACTTCATGTTGTCTTTGGATGATAAGAGCTTTAACACATTGAGGGATGGGATGGAGTTATTTTCAGTTAAACAAACATAATAATTAAAATAAAAACAGTGTAAAAAGATAAAATTAAACACTAATTTTTAAAAGAATTAGTAAATTAATCATCCATTGAAACAGATAAATCATTCACTAAATCGTTCAAACTTACCTACCAAACTAAAAAGCAAATCTGAGTTTAAAACATTAGAGAAGTATTATGTAGGTGTTTAAGACTTGAAAGTATTTTCTCTACCCTGACCAAAAGAAACTAACAATGTTACTTACCTAAAAAAAATAAAATAACAATGTTCGGATAGGTATACATGAATCTTTTTCCTTAAATATTTAAGAGAAACCGCTTTAGAGATGCCACAAGTAACAACTGAAATTAAGAAATATTAGAAGTGGCCCCCACCACAAAATTCCATAATGAGGCATGATTTTGAGCCATTGATTTAAAAATCACTGAGAGGACTCGAAACCATCTGAGTCGGTTCAAAATCAGGAGCCAGGCAAATCTGGTTCAAGGGACTTGGGAAATGCCCCCATTCTTCGTGTTTTTTGCTTTTTCTTTTTTAGCTTCTTTTTAAATATTACCTGACCCCACTCAGTAATTGCCTGAGTCAGAGCTGGCAGATCAAAATGGGACCTTGGCTGGTCAGAGCCTGATTCTGATTTTTGGAACACTTGATTGAGGGATAATACCCTTGGGGGATACTTTTCACAGCTCAGGACTCCAGCCAAATTGGCCGGACATCAAAGAAAGATAGAGAATAGGAGGAATGGGTCTGATGCTGCTCTGGAGCTATGATTCATGAATACAGTTGTGAGCATGGACAGTTCATCGGTTTATTGAGTTTTACTTTTACATGTGTATATGGCATCAACACAGATACCACGGCATTTTGAAGTATCTGTGAATAACTTTGATGAAGGACCTTGAAAATTTGAACAAGTACATTGTAGTCCACCGTTAATATTTTTTATATGTATTCTTATGATAAATTAATAAAGTCATGTACTGATCCAAAAAAATATATATTTTCATGGATGAATAATACAAAATTTTGATTGAATAATATTATTGTATACAATAAGACCATTTACCATTGATACAAGGAGGTCACAAGTACTTATAATCATCTGATGTGAAATCTGATAGATTTGGTGTGTCACAACGTTCAAGAAAATTTATTTTGAAAGTTTGCGCTTGGTCGATGGTATAAATACAACCATCCAATTTCACATCCAATAGTCAAGATAATTGGGACCACCTTGTATCAAAGGTCTCATTGTGTACATTGCCATAAAAATTTCTGATTGTTTAATAGATTTTATGCATGTGACCTAACCAAAAAAAGAATATCTCATATGGGCATTTGATAAACAGAGAATTTCATGTGTGCACCAAAAGTATATGTCATAATTCTTTGAAATATGTGTGTTGGGAATTTTGGTGGTCATGCCATTTCCCTAATTCTTAACTTTTCCCTAGAGTTATCACTGGCTGCCATGCTCGAAATGCTGTGAAACAAAGTGAGGTTTGGCTTCTTATTACATAATTTCTGCATTCTCAGGTTCAGTTAAATAAACTTGAAGCATTCTTTGGCAGACCCAGTTGCAATGTGGCATGTTAAAGAGGAAATAGCTTCGGCAGTGCTGCTCGTCGTTGATTTCGGTGGGTGGTATAGGCAAGATTCAAAGGCTTCCTCTGGTAACTCTTCAGGAATGATACACCATACCCAAGTCTCGTTACTTAAGGATGTGATTGTGCCATACACTCATCTCCTCCCTAGACTTCACTTGTCAGAAGATGCGGAGAGGCATACACTTCTCTACTTCAAGGGAGCTAAACATAGGCATCGGGTATTGTTGTATTTTTTAGTTTTTTGGCCCTTTTCTCTTTTTCTATCTGGGGGCATTGGGCATTTGAGGAAGTATACCATTCATCTTCACGGGTTTATGACATGATAGTATGTATACACATCCTGTGTGTGGCTGTGTGTTTCGCAGTTTGGGTATTCAACATTCATTCTCGATGATGGATGGATATGATTAACCATGCCTTAGTGGCTTGTCCACCATCGGGACCTGCAGTTGATCTAAACAGTCCATTCTTTAGAAAGATGCCTGAATTAGGTACCACCTGCCATACACAGGCTTTTTATGTATGCTCTCTCTTCCACTCAGAGAAACATGGTATATATTCTCACAGTTGTTGCTCATATAGAACAAGTTCCAGAGTGTTTTGAAGTTCGAACCTTTGTTTGAACTAAACCTATCTTTTCAAATCTGACTCTCCATTATAAGCCATTGTTTTCTCTTGTAGTGGATACCGGTTCATCATCATACTCATTACTAAACATCTACATCATATGTGTGCACCTTACTCTCTCTTTATATGTGTATGTGTGTGTGTGCATGCCTGCATGTATGAATTATCTATATGTACAGCAGACAAACATCTTGATGAGATCCTATTTCTTTTTGATGGATCGTCCTTAGGGTGGCCTTGTTCGCGAAAAATTGTGGGATTTGCTTGAGAATGAGCCTGGTGTTGTTATGGAGGAAGGCTTCCCTAATGCCACAGGCATGGAGCAATCCATAAGAGGGATGCGGAGCTCCGAGTTTTGTTTGCACCCTGCTGGAGACACCCCAACTTCTTGCCGGCTTTTTGATGCAATTCAAAGCCTTTGTATCCCTCTTATTGTAAGTGACAATATAGAGCTCCCGTTCGAGGGTATCATTGACTATTCTTCATTTTCAGTATTTGTCTCTGTTAGTAAAGCAATGGAGCCAAAATGGCTCTTGGGTCATTTGAGAAGCTTCTTAAAAGAGCAGAGAGATTCTTTTCGTAAGAAGCTTGCTCAAGTTCAGCCTATTTTTGAGTTTGATAATGGCCATCCTGGTGGTATTGGGCCAATAGCTACTGATGGTGCAGTGAATAACATATGGAGGAAGATACATGAGAAAGTGCCTATGATCAGGGAAGCCATAGTAAGAGAAAAGAGGAAACCAGAAGGCACATCCATTCCGCTTCGTTGCCACTGTACATGACATTCAATTGAAGTTTTGATGCTTTTTTTTTTTTTGCTTATTAATGACCGAAATTTGCAATGTCTTTGAGTTGTGAATCTTGTAGCCATGGTTAGAGGATGTATAATAGCTTCTGTTTGACCATCCTAATTTGTTTACAAAATAGCTACTGAAACTTTTTGCCTTGATGAAAATTTTTTGGATTTATTTATTTATTGGGAAGTTGACACACAAATGGGGAAATGGCTGCCTTTTCAAACCCTTTCTTGCTTAAACATAATGCACAGCATGCTATAATCTCTGCATACTGGATCATTACCATCCGCTGGAGTGATGGATGACAATGGGGAGTGAGGGAGAAGGATTCACCAGTGAGGTCATAGTGTGTTAGGGCAAATCCCACTCTTTTTACCGATCAGTTCAACTGTTGGTGGTGACCAAACCCAGGTACGCTCTTTCTGTAGTTCATTAGATTGTAGTATGCTTAAAACAGAATGGTACTGCTGGTTTTGAAAAGATTTAGGTCTGCAACAGTTATTTCTGATTCATTTTCTTGAATAAAATGGTCTAGCCACCTCAAAAATTTAATGAGGGGGTTAAATAAACTGATTTTTCAACTAAATGGTAAATAATTTTCCAACAAAATGGCTGGCTTACAAAAATTATTCAACTTAAGTTTTCTCAACAATTTTTTTAGGGAGTACCCAAATTGTGCTAGGCAAGAGGTGGCATATTTTTGTTAGTTGGCCACTTAAAAGCAACTCGAGCTAAACGGCCTAAATGTCCTAGCTGGTTCTGAGTTTCAAACCATGAAAGAGATTATTTTGTGAAAGACACATGTATCGGTTTCGAACCCAGAATGCATACAATATATAGGTCATTTTTCACAAGCGACTTAAGTGGGTCAAATTACCGAAATGTATTTGCTTCTCTAAGATTACAAACCCAGAACAAGGGTATTTAACCTTTTTATGTAAAATTCTTGAGTGGGTAATTAAGTTGAAGGATTTTAAAAAGTAATCAGCTTATTCATAAGTTTTTTTATTTAATCACCTCATTATTTTTTGAAGTACTTTGACCATTTTAATGATATTTTCCCTTTAGTTTATGGTGCTCTTGGGAAGAGGTTGAAATCTATTTCTTTCACTGAATCCATCTCATTGTATTGGTGGTCCGTACTCCACTATTTGGTACCTCCCTTTTGTCCCTTTTTCTATTAGACAGTTATATCAAATTCAGCTAATAAGTAGCACTTTGTATTATCCTTGGAGAAGAGGTCCCAACCCTTTCTATCCTCACTTCATGGAGCATAACCACTAATCCATTACCTTCCTTTTGCCACCATTGATCCCAAATGAAATCCTGAGGAAAATGGGATTAGATTGTTCCTAAAATTTACTCCCCCACCTTTTTGGATCAGATCATTCCCACAAAAGAATATTCAACTGGTATTGTACTCTTTGATTTTGTTGACACCTGTCTAAATCTGTGTGAAAAATTGGACTCCCATTGTAGTTATATGTCAATCTTTGATTCCACTAAAGTTTTCAATAGGAATTTTTGTTTTCAAAGTTTATGCTTTGGAAATATTGAGCAAAGGAAACAGGTTATTTACTAACTTTACCATATTGCTTCAGATTATTCTAACTTGCACTAGGAAAACTCGTGTTCTTAATATTGGACTCACATGAACGCATCACAAAGTAGTCCAGGTCTAAAAGCCTCCGGTTTTGCATGGTTTTCACCGGATCTCATAGATTTTTTTTGTTTCTAATACAATAAACGCCAGAGAGCCGGCTAGCTGGCTCGGTTAGTTCAGAGCTGCCTAGGAACGTGTAGGTAGCCAGTTTGTCCTACCTGTCCATTTTTAAAAGGGATTGTATATTATGAAACCATTTGTTTTTGGTACAAGGAGGTCATAATTATTTTTGGCCATTGGATGTAAAATTCAATAGATGAAAATGACACAACATTCAAAAAACTTTATTTTAGACTTTGTGCCTTAATAATGATACATCTTCGACCGTTCAATCTTAATCTAAAGTTCAACGATAATTGTGACTTTTTTGTATCAAAAGTAAATGATGTATGCATTTTTTAAAAAAAATACTAATGAACTTTATTGGCCTTATACCATACCATGGATGCACTATAGAAAAAATATGATGCATATAAAGTCAACCATCAATGAACAATGGACGGTTGAGATCAGTTCCTCTGCCTTAAGTCTGTTAATGATTGCTTCGGTGGAGCAATGTTTATTCTCAAGCACGTCTTTTTCGGTTATTGAAAAGAGGTTGTTGAGATACATGCAGCATACTGTTTGTGTGCTTGAGGTTGTGGTAGTATTTATTTTATAGTCCCAATATTAATAAGGGTGCGACTTGTATGTTGTGAGCACAAAGGGATGAGTTGTGAGAGTTTAAAGAATGATATGTGATGTATGTAAAATGGCACTAGGCTTTGCAGATCGATGCCTTTTCTACTTGAACATTGTTTTTAACTCTATTTAAGTCCTTTCTTTTCCCCCCTGTTTCTTGTTTAAATCTTAGTTATACTACCATGATTATAATTTTAAAGTTTTAATATTGTTGTTGAATGCTTTTACTGTTGGAGAATACTAGGTGAAACCAGGGCAGAAAATAAAACCGTAAGTTGAAGGAAAAAGTTTATATAAGGTTGCGACTTTAAAATGTAGAATTAGAGGTGCACCTCAAAAATTCATCATCAAAGGTTATAAGGATGTTGGAAAACCCTCTAATTGATCATTTCGACATTGAAATGTATGAACGAGATGTATGAACATGAAAAAAAAAAAAGAGATTTTGAGTCCGCAAAATAGTGTATCTTGCGACATTATCTAGACTGTCCATTTTCAAGATTTTTTGGTGTTTATAGATCTACTTGATTTGAATAGTTTTTAGATATTAAAATTTTATAATTAGGAATGAAAATAGATTCTCAAGCCATCCTAAAAAGGTTTATATCAAAATTACATTCGCGATAAAATTTTGAAGTGAGCCTTAATTGGATTGTTTAGGGTTGCAACCTTATGCAAACCACACCCTAAGTTGAATCATGTAATAGATGAGCAGTGGTTTGGATGAATAACAATACTGCAGTATATTGTGAACAATTGTTAAGGAGACCAAACTCAATTGACACTCGCTTAAATGGAAAAGTATACAAAAAGATTATTTAATTATTATTGGTTATCACATTTAAAATTAGGTGGTTGTGGCATTGATTAGGCTCAAAGTTCAAAAAATAATTTAGTAAACTGAGTCACGTCCCAAACTATTTATTTGATACTTAATGGCTAATAGCAATTGTGGCCTCATAACAAAGATAAATGGTGTCATAGTGTACAATTCCGAGTTAAAGAGGCCCATCAAAGGCTAAAGAGGCAATTGCCTATTTGATCAAATAGTTTAGGAGTTAGTTTTTAATGTGTGTTTTTTTTTTTTTGACTAAGATTCAAATTTTTCATTAATTGATTAAAAGGAAATTTACATTATTAGAAACAGTAAGAGAAACACCCCCTTGAGCCAAAGCATCAGCAACGTCATTTGCTTCACGCTAAATATGAGAAAAGGAGACTGATAAGTTTGCCACTACATCCAAAGTCTGTAACCAAAAAGATCACAATTCCAACGGAACCCTCTGCTCCTTACACCATCTAATAACATTAAGATAATCCCCTTCTATTAGACAATTTGAGCCTAAATTCTTCCCAATGAAAATTTCGATTCCCCTTCAAAGAGCCATTAGCTCCGCACATTAGATAACAATTTGAGCCTAAATTCTTCCCAATGAAAATTTCAATTCCCCTTAAAAGAGCCGTTCGCTCCGCACAATGTGGTTTTAGTGAGAAATGAAAACCACAACGTGATGGCTAGGATGTTGGGGTATTACCACCTCGACCCATAAATGAACAAAATTTTACTTGTCCAATATATTCGAACAATTGAAACCAAGAAGTACAAGAGAGTCATCCATTCTTTTGTGTAGAAAACGAATATTATATACACACAAAAGGTGAGGAGAGAGAGAGAGATTGGATTTGGTATCAGCTTGTTACTTAAATGATACATTATTACTTTTGTAGACAATAGAAACCAAGAAGTACAAGAGAGTCATCCATTCTTTTGGGTAGAAAACGAAAATGATATACACACAAAGGTGAGGAGAGAGAGAGATTGGATTTGGTATCAACTTGTTCCTCAAATGAGACATTACTACTTTTGTAGTGCATGGCCTTTAATATGAGGATTTTAGTCTCAAAGACATGCCCTTTGAAAGTGTAAAATGGCATATCAAGATATTTGTAGCCGATGTCAAATAATTAGAAAAAAATTCTGATAATGATGTTATTACCCTTGTATAGAGGGTAAATGGGTGCTCATTCAAACAAAGAATCAGAACGAATCAACAAATAGTAAATCTAAATTAAAAACTATATGCAGTCCCAAAAGCGTGTATGAAGCATGAAGAAGCACATGCTAGCATATTTAAGTGCACTCATATAAGTCTTCTCTTCCCTTTGTCCTTTAACAAGGATGGTATCAAGAAATAATCCTTATACGTTTAGCTCATTTTTTGGTATTCCATATTCAAGTTCTCATGAAAATGTCGTTTAATGTGAGGAAAATTTCAATATTTTCATCATCATCCGAACTTTATCTCAATTATTTGAGGTCGGCAACTTTCAAAATAAAGATAAATTGACAGCTGATGCAGGGTCCCTGCGACACTGCAGTCTAGGGTTAGTGTTATTCATCGACACGCATTGATACTTCTAGCATATTAAAATTAATAAAATATGACAAAGGGGTCTCCGCGTTCGAAACTCAAGCTGTTTGGAGTTTAGGAGTGTACTCAATCCACCAGGCCCCATCTACTTCATTTCTTCACTATAGTGAATCTTACATTATGTATGCTTAAAAGTACAAGGAAATTTACATAAAAAATCTTTTTTATTTTTAGAATTAAAAAATAGTTCTTCGTATTTTATAGTATGTATTCAAATTCTACTTTTTGAGAGCATATACTTTTTCAATTACATTTAAATTTGGTATTACAATAATTCTGATGCAACTATAACAAATACAAAAAAATAATATATATAAAAATACAAAAATGCCCTGAATATTCTAGGAGTATCTGGCCGTTTATTATTTTAATGTTTTTTTAGTGGTGTGCGATGAGGAAAAATATGGACATCCCAAATTTCAACTTAATCCAATGTATAGAAAAAAGTAAAAATATACTATATGCTCTTAGAAATGAGACTTATATGCTAAAAAGTAACGAGACTTGAATGTAAAATATAAAATACAAAACTTTTTAAAATGCCAAAAAATATTATACTCCTATAGGAGTATATAACATCCACTTATTCCCTAGGGTAGAATCCCACTTAGAATTAATTTTGGGACCCCAAATTTTGAGGATGTAACCTCTTCAACTCATAGATTAACATCAATAAAAGAATTAATTACCCTCTATGCACTTGAAATAAATAATGTCTCCAGATTGAATAGCAATCATCCAATTTTTAGATGGTAAAAATCTAAGTAATAAAAAACTCAATTTTCAATTTTTTTTGAGAACAATCATCTAGTTCTAAGTGATTCCCAGAATTTCAGATTGAAAAAATCCTCCCAAGTAGGTACATGCTCGTTTCAAATTTCGAAATAAACCAAGAATTTTCTGAAAATTTCCCAATAACAATACTTTTGCAAATAATAACGGTGCGCACATTTCTAGGTGTATGTGAGTGCACTTGTGTCTAAAGCTGTGAGAAGAATTAAGAGAGCAAGGGAAGAGTAGTAATCAGTTGTGCATGTATGAGTGAGAGGGAGAGAGATGACTTGCCAATTACCATGTGAAAGGAGGCCGGCATGTATCTAGCTATAAAATATCAAAAGACAACACACTTAACAAATATTGCGAGCTTGTGATTCCTGAAAAATGTAACCCCAAAAGCAAATCAAAATAATACCTACCAAAACAATCATTCCATCATAGATATCACCCGAAACTGTCCATGGTTCAAGTCCTAGGACTCGAAGCATGCACTTTCACAGAAGACAGAAGGATACATCAGATGCCAAAACCTGATTCAAAAGCTAGGCCTTCTACTCCTAATTCTCTATATTTTCTGGAGAAATTGATAATTATTCAACGTCAACTTCTTCACAAAACTCTATCCGTGTGCTAAAATTTCTATAGAAAATCTTTCAAGTGTACTCACGGGATGGCCAACAACTAATCCTCTTTGTAGGCATGTTAGCAAGCATTGATATGTATGGTCAAGTAAGTGAAATGGCGATGCCATGTGAACTAGGCAGGATCAGTCCTCACTGAGATTTGGTGTTACGCCAGGCAACCCCTCCATGGCAGCTCCTTGGCCCTTACTATTGATCTCAACCCTCTCTCCTAAATCTCCATTCACAGACGAAGTTTGAGCTCCCAATGGCTCCACGCTTATTGGTGTGTGATCAAATCCTTTAAGTCCGTTAGGTATGTCCCTGTCAGTTGATGCCTTCTCTGTTTCATGCTCAAGTTGATGGCATCGCTCCCCATTTTCTCTTGTTACTGCTTCATCCGGCTTTAAGTGTTCTCTATCATTGGCTCGTGCCTCCGCACCTACCACATCACCAAAACCTTCAGTTTTAACAATTGACCCATCAGTGGGGCCTAGCTTCTCTTGCTCATTTTCGGAGACCTTTAACCCCCCCTTAAAACGAGGGTGCCTCCTCTGAGATCCCTTCTTAAATTTGCTTTTTTTTTTCTTTGTTTTTAGAGGTGCAGGTGTCTCAGATCGCCCATCAGAAACTTTTTCCTTCTTATTACCAGGGAGAACAGTATAGACAGATCCGCTATTCGAGGTCTCAGCTGTCAAAAAATAAAAAAAGGTAAATATATGAGATTGTGGTCATAAGAAATGGAATAAAATAAATTTCGAAAAGAATGAGCTACATAGATTAAATACTTGAAAGTAAAACTAGTTCAAAAGGATCATAGTATATGGTATGGTACTTCACTGCTGCATCCCTTGTCAGTTCCCACTACAGGATGGTCGGATGTTAATTGGAATTGGGGCCCAAGGAGACAAGATCCAGGGCACATTTAATCTCTAACCATCTATTTATGAAACTGGAGAGTAGATGCAGCTCCAGCATAGAGCGCCATAAACCAGAGGCCCTTCAGACCATTGTATCAATATGTACCAACAAATGGATGTATATAGGGCATTGTACGCCTAGACCTCACCACATGAGGTCTATACTGTGATAATCATTAGTCCATTAAACCCCTAACTAGGAGATATCATAGTTTTTACAATCTTGGAAAACTATCCAGGGTTCTGAAAGGGAATGCTTGCCTTAATCTCACAATAAACTCTCCATTATTTACTTTGTTGTGAAAGTTCTTTTTAGATAAATTTCATGCCTAAAGTCAATATAATGTCATAAGCGAACAAAAACGATAAATTCACAATAATAGAGTCCTCAATTTAAAAGAAACATAATGGAAAACTTCCTTTTTTTGTTTTCTTCTTATTATTTTCTCTTCTAATTTCCTTTGCTTCTTTTTTCAGAAATTCCTCAAGAAAACCCAAAACTTGAAAGTCTCAAAAAAAAATATACTCAATAAGAAATTCTCCACCGCGAAAATCGCCACAAAATTGGACCAACATTGCATGGTAAGAATACTTACAATTGTTAGATTGGATAGCTAAGAGAGCCGTCCGAGCAGCTTTAATTTCTGCTTCTTTCTTCGTCTTTGCAGCCCCACCGATGTATTGAATACCTCCAATCTCCACTGTACACACAAAGGAACTAATATTTGAATTGCTGTCCCTTGTACATGTGTATGATGGAACCGAGTAGCTCATCTTCTGTGCATACTCCTGGAGTAAATTCTTGCATAGGCCAGTTTCATGCTGTTCAAGAAATACCATTAGAGAACAAGAGGTTCAGAATTAGGACTCTCTCTCTCCCGCTCTCTCTCTCATGCTCTCTCTCTCTGTTGGCTCTCACACACACACACACACACACAA